TGGGATTGGGGGGGCGATGGGGAGGGGATTGGGGTATTTTGGGCTGGGTTGGGGCTATTTTGGGGCCATTTTGGCTTATTTTGGGCTATTTTGGTGTATTTTGGTCTATTTGGGGCTATTTTGGACTATTTTGGTCTATTTTGGTCTATTTTGCACCTTTTAGGGGCTATTTTGGTCTATTAGGGGCTATTTTGGACCATTTTGGAACTATTTTGGTCTATTTTGGTCTATTTTGGACCATTTTGGGGCTATTTTGGTCTATTTGTGTCTATTTTGGACCATTTTGGGGTCTATTTTGGTCTATTTTGGTCCATTTTGGGGCTATTTTGGTGTATTTGTGTCTATTTTGGACCATTTTGGGTCTATTTTGGTCTATTTGGGTCCATTTTGGGGCTTATTTTGGTGTATTTGTGTCTATTTTGGACCATTTTGGGGGCTATTTTGGACCATTTTGGGGCTATTTTGTTATATTTGGGGCTATTTTGGACCATTTGGGGCTATTTTGGACCATTTTGGACCATTTTGGGGCTATTTTGGTCTATTTGTGTCTATTTTGGACCATTTTGGTCAATTTTGGACTATTTTGGTCTGGTTTGGACCATTTTGGGGCTATTTTGTTGTATTTGGGGCTATTTTGGACCATTTGGGACTATTTTGGACCATTTTGGGTCTATTTTGGTCTCTGTGTCTATTTTGGACCATTTTGGGGCTATTTTGGACTATTTTGGTCTATTTTGGACCATTTGGGGGCTATTTGGGACCATTTTGGACCATTTGGGGTCTATTTTGGTCTATTTGGGTCTATTTTGGACCATTTTGGGGGCTATTGGGACCATTTTGGACATTTTGGGTCTATTTTGGACTATTTTGGTGGCTATTTGGGACCATTTTGGACCATTTGGGGTCTATTTGGGACCCATTTTGGACCATTTGGGGTCTATTTTGGACTATTTTGGTCTATTTTGGACCATTTGGGGTCTATTTGGGTCTATTTTGGACCATTTTGGGGCTTTTGGGGACCATTTTGGACCATTTGGGGTCTATTTTGGACTATTTTGGTCTATTTTGGACCATTTGGGGGCTATTTGGGACCATTTTGGACCATTTGGGGTCTATTTGGGTCTATTTTGGACCATTTTGGGGCTATTTGGGACCATTTGGACCATTTGGGGTCTATTTGGGTCTATTTTGGACCATTTTGGGGCTTTTGGGGACCATTTTGGACCATTTGGGGTCTATTTGGGTCTATTTTGGACCATTTTGCGGCTATTTGGGACCATTTTGGACCATTTGGGGTCTATTTGGGTCTATTTTGAACCATTTTGGGGCTATTTGGGACCATTTTGGACCATTTGGGGTCTATTTGGGTCTATTTTGGACCATTTTGGGGGCTATTTGGGACCATTTTGGACCATTTGGGGTCTATTTGGGTCTATTTTGGACCATTTTGGGGCTATTTGGGACCATTTTGGACCATTTGGGGTCTATTTGGGTCTATTTTTGTCTATTTTGGGGCCATTAGGGGCAGTTTTGGGGCAGTTTGGGGCAGTTTTGGGGCTCTTTGCGCTGTCCCGGCCGGTTCCATGACCTATTCCCGGGGGGGGGGGGGGTCCTGTTCTCAGTGTCGGGAGGCGCTCGGGGGCGCCCTGGAGGCGTGGAGGGCGCTCGAGGCCGATCTGCAGCTGCACGTGGCCACGTTCGTGCCCTCCCCGGGCTCCCCCCGGCCCCCGATGGACTCGTCCAGGTGGCGCTGCAGCTGGCGGTGGTCAGGGTGAGCCGGGACCCCCCTGTGGGACCCCCACTGTGGGATCCCCCCCATGGGACCCTCCTATGGGACCCCCCTACAGAACATCCTATGGGACCCCCCCATGAGACCCCCCTGTGGGACCCCCTCAATGGGACCCCCCCTATAGAGGATCCTATGGGACCCCCCCTATGGGACTCCCCTATGGGCCCTCCCCTATAGAGCATCCTATGGGACCCCCCCATGGGCCCCCCTCAATGGGACCCCCCTATGGGACCCCCCTACAGAACATCCTATGGGACCCCCCTGTGGGACTCCCCTGTGGGACCCTCCTGTGGGACCCCCTCAGTGGGACCCCCAACCCCTCCTGTCCTAATGAATGGGGGCGTTTTGGGGCATTTTGGGTCATTTTGAGCTGTTTTAGATCATTTTGGGTCATTTTGGGGCGTTTTAGATCATTTTGGGTCATTTTGAGCCGTTTTAGATCATTTTGGGTCATTTTGGGGCGTTTTAGATCATTTTGGTCATTTTGAGGCGTTTTAGATCATTTTGGGTCATTTTGAGGCGTTTTAGATCATTTTGGGTCTTTTGGGGAGTTTTAGGGCATTTTGGGTCATTTGAGGCGTTTTAGGGTGTTTTGGGTCATTTTGAGGTGTTTTAGATCATTTTGGGTCATTTTGGGGCGTTTCAGTGCCATTTTGGGCCATTTTGAGGTGTTTTGGGGCTGTTTTAGGACATTTTGAGGTGTTTTTAGGGCTGTTTTAGATCATTTTGAGGTGTTTTAGGGCTGTTTTAGATCATTTCGAGGTGTTTTAGGGCTGTTTTAGATCATTTTGAGGTGTTTTAGGGCTGTTTTAGATCATTTCGAGGTGTTTAGGGCTGTTTTAGATCATTTTGAGGTGTTTTAGGGCTGTTTTAGATCATTTTGAGGTGTTTTAGGGCTGTTTTAGATCATTTCGAGGTGTTTTAGGGCTGTTTTAGATCATTTGAGGTGTTTTAGGGCTGTTTTAGATCATTTTGAGGTGTTTAGGGCTGTTTTAGAGCATTTTGGGTCATTTTGAGGTGTTTTAGGGCTGTTTTAGATCATTTTGAGGTGTTTTAGGGCTGTTTCTGTGCATTTTGGGTCATTTTGAGGTGTTTTAGGGCTGTTTTAGATCATTTTGAGGTGTTTAGGGCTGTTTTAGAGCATTTTGAGGTGTTTTAGGGCTGTTTTAGATCATTTTGAGGTGTTTTAGGGATGTTTTAGGTCATTTTGAGGTGTTTTAGGGCTGTTTTAGATCATTTTGAGGTGTTTTAGGGCAGTTTCAGTGCATTTTGGGTCATTTTGAGGTGTTTTAGGGCTGTTTTAGATCATTTTGAGGTGTTTTAGGGCTGTTTTAGATCATTTTGAGGCGTTTTAGGGCTGTTTTAGATCATTTTGAGGTGTTTTAGGGCTGTTTTAGATCATTTTGAGGCGTTTTAGGGCTGTTTTAGATCATTTTGGGTCATTTTGAGGTGTTTTAGGGCTGTTTTAGATCATTTTGAGGTGTTTTAGGGCTGTTTTAGGTCATTTCGAGGTGTTTTAGGGCTGTTTTAGATCATTTTGGGTCATTTTGAGGTGTTTTCGGGCTGTTTTAGATCATTTTGAGGTGTTTTGGGGCTGTTTTAGATCATTTTGAGGTTTTAGGGCTGTTTCAGTGCATTTTGGGTCATTTTGAGGTGTTTTAGGGCTGTTTTAGATCATTTTGAGGTGTTTTAGGGCTGTTTTAGATCATTTTGAGGTGTTTTAGGGCTGTTTTAGATCATTTTGAGGTGTTTTAGGGCTGTTTTAGATCATTTTGAGGTGTTTTAGGGCTGTTTTAGATCATTTTGAGGTGTTTTAGGGCAGTTTCAGTGCATTTTGGGTCATTTTGAGGTGTTTTAGGGCTGTTTTAGATCATTTTGAGGTGTTTTAGGGCTGTTTTAGATCATTTTGAGGTGTTTAGGCTGTTTTAGATCATTTTGAGGTGTTTTAGGGCTGTTTTAGATCATTTTGGGTCATTTTGAGGTGTTTTAGGGCTGTTTTAGATCATTTTGAGGTGTTTTAGGGCTGTTTTAGATCATTTTGAGGTGTTTTAGGGCTGTTTTAGATCATTTGGGTCATTTTGAGGTGTTTTAGGGCTGTTTTAGATCATTTTGAGGTGTTTTAGGGCTGTTTTAGATCATTTTGAGGTGTTTTAGGGCTGTTTTAGATCATTTTGAGGTGTTTTAGGGCTGTTTCAATGCATTTTGGGGTCTCTTTGTCCCGTCCCCCCCCCCCCGTGACCCGCCGTTGACCCCACGCAGGAGCGCGGCGCGTGCCTGACGTACGAGGCGGTTCCCACGCGGCTCTTCCTGGAGGGGCGCGCGGAGGCGGCGCGCGGGTGCGGGCGCCCCTGCTGGAGCTGGCGGACTCCATGGGCGACCCCAAGGCCACGGTGAGGGGGGGGGACGGACCCCGATATAGGGGTCAATGGGGGGGCGGACCCCGATATAGGGTCAATGGGGGGGAGAGACCCCGATATAGGGGTCAATGGGGGGGAGACCCCGATATAGGGGTCAAAGGGGGGGAGACACCAATATAGGGGTAATGGGGGGGAGAGACTCTGATATAGGGGTCAATGGGGGGGAGAGACCCCGATATAGGGGTCAATGGGGGGGAGACACCAATATAGGGGTCAATGGGGGGGAGACACCAATATAGGGGGTAATGGGGGGAGACACCAATATAGGGGGTAATGGGGGGGGAGACACCAATATAGGGGGTAATGGGGGAGACCCCAATATAGGGGTAATGGGGGGGAGACCCCGATATAGGGGGTAATGGGGGGGGGAGACCCCGATATAGGGGGTAATGGGGGGGAGACCCCAATATAGGGGGTAATGGGGGGGAGGAGACACCAATATAGGGGGTAATGGGGGGGAGACCCCGATATAGGGGTCAATGGAGGTGGAGAGACCGCCATATAGGGGTCAATGTGTGGGGCAGACCCCAATATAGGGGTCAATGTGGGGCAGACCCCAATATAGGGGTCAATGTGGGGCAGACCCCCACATAGGGGTCAATGTGTGGGGCACTGACCTCGAATAACCCCCATGCCGCCCCCCCCCAGCCCGCCCTACGGCGCCGCCTCCTGCAGGGGGCGCTGCGTGACGTAAGCGCGCGCCGGCGCGCGGCCGCGGCGGGGGCGGGGCTTGACCGGCACCTGCAGGCGCTGGCGGCTACGGCGCGGCTGCTGAGGCTCCGCCCCCCGCTGCTGGAGGAGGTGGGCGGGGCTTGTTGCTATGGGTAACAACAAGGGGGCGGGGCTTGTTGCTATGGGTAACAACAAGGGGGCGGGGCTTGTTGCTATGGGTAACAACAAGGGGGCGGGGCTTGTTGCTATGGGTAACAAGGGGGCGGGGCTTGTTGCTATGGGTAACGATAGGGGGCGGGGCTTGCTGCTATGGGTAACAAGGGGGGCGGGGCTTGTTGCTATGGGTAACAGCGGGGGGCGGGGCTTGTTGCTATGGGTAACAGCGGGGGCGGGGCTTGTTGCTATGGGTAACAATGGGGGCGGGGCTTGTTACTATGGGTAACAACGGGGGGCGGGGCTTGTTGCTATGGGTAACAACAAGGGGGGCGGGGCTTGTTGCTAGGGGTAACAACGGGGGGGCGGGGCTTGTTGCTATGGGGCTTGGGTAAAGGGGCGGGGCTTGGCGAGGAGGCTCCGCCCCTCCTGATGCTGGAAGGAGTGGGAGGGACGCGTTGTTATGGCAACGGGGGCGGGGCTTAGAGGTAAATGGGCGGGGTTTAGCGTAAAGGGGCGGGGCTTGGCCCCTCCCCCATTGCACCCCCATTGCCCCCTTCAACAGGGGGGCGGAGTCACGCTGCTTCATTTGCATCCCACAGGTCCTCAGCCAACCCTGGGCTCTGGCGTCAAGCCCCGCCCCTAGGGCGGAGCCTCCGCTCTTGCCCCGCCCCCTGTACCCGGGGGGGGCGGGCTTCGCACCGGTGGGTCCTGGGGGGGGTATTTGGGGGTGGGGGGGGTGGTTTTGGGGGGTATTTGGGGGTGGGGGGGTGGTTTTGGGGGTATTTGGGGGTGGGGGGGTGGTTTTGGGGGGTATTTTGGGGGTGGGGGGGTGGTTTTGGGGGGTATTTGGGGGTGGGGGGTGGTTTTGGGGGGTATTTGGGGGTGGGGGGGTGGTTTTGGGGGGTATTTGGGGGGTGGGGGTGGTTTTGGGGGGGTATTTGGGGGTGGGGGGGTGGTTTTGGGGGGTATTTGGGGTGGGGGGTGGTTTTGGGGGGTATTTGGGGGTGGGGGGGTGGTTTTGGGGGTATTTGGGGGTGGGGGGGTGGTTTTGGGGGTATTTGGGGGTGGGGGGGTGGTTTTGGGGGGTATTTTGGGGGTGGGGGGGTGGTTTTGGGGGGTATTTGGGGGGTGGGGGGGTGGTTTTGGGGGGTATTTGGGGTGGGGGGGTGGTTTTGGGGGTATTTGGGGGTGGGGGGGTGGTTTTGGGGGGATTTTGGGGGTGGGGGGGTGTTTTGGGGGATTTGGGGGTGGGGGGGTGGTTTTGGGGGGTATTTGGAGGGTGGGGGGTGTTTTGGGGGGGTATTTGGGGGGTGGGGGGGTGGTTTTGGGGGGTATTTGGGGGGGGTGGTTTTGGGGGGTATTTGGGGGTGGGGGGTGGTTTTGGGGGGGTATTTTGGGGTGTTAGGGGCTTATTTTGGGGGTATTTTAGGGCTTTGGGGGGTATTTTGGGGGTGGGTGGGGGGTTGGTTTTGGGGTGGCATTATGGGGATGGGGCATTTTTGGGGGTATTTGTGGGGTTGGGGGGGTATTTAGGGCCTTTGGGGGGTATTTTGGGTGGGGGTATTTTAGGGGTGTTTGGGTCGATTTGGGGGGTCTTTTGGGGATGGGAGCATTTTGGGGGCTATTTAGGGGGGTTTTGGGGGTGTTAGGGGGGTATTTTGGGGGTTGGGGGTGGTTTTGGGGGGTATTTGGGGGGTTTAGGGGGGTATTTTGGGGATGGGGGTGGTTGTGGGGTGGATTTGGGGGGTATTTTAGGGCTTAGGGGGATATTTTAGGGCTTGGGGGGTATTAGGGGGGTATTTGGGGGGTTAAGGGGGTATTTGGGGGGTTAAGGGGGGTATTTGGTGGTTAAGGGGGGTATTTAGGGGGTTAGGGGGGTTTTGGGGGGGTTAAGGGGTTATTTTGGGGTGGGGGTTGGTTTGGGGGGTGTTTTTGGTGTTTATGGGGGTATTTTGGGGGTCTTCCCCCCCCATCACCCCCCCCCATCACCCCCCCTCCCAGCCCCATCGCGATGCCTACGGGGTCTCCTACGCCCAGGGCAGGGGCGGCTCCATCCTGTTCCATGTGTCCTGTCGAGCCTCCAGCCCCATAACAGTGAGTGGGGGGCACCCCATAACCTGACCCCCCCATATAACCCCCTATAGAACCCCCTTTACCCCCTATAGAACCCCCCCATATCCCCCCCATAGACCCCCCTTTACCCCCATATAACCCCCCCATATCCCCCCTATAGACCCAGCCTTTAACCCCCACATCACCCCCATATCCCCCTATAGACCCCCCCTTTAACCCCATAGACCCCCCTTTAACCCCCATATAAACCCCCATATCCCCCCTATAGACCCCCTTTAACCCCCATATAAACCCCCATATCCCCCCTATAGACCCCCCTTTAACCCCCATATCCCCCCCATAGACCCCCCTATAGACCCCCCATATAACCCCCCTATAGACCCCCCCATTAACCCCCATATCACCCCCCATATCCCCCCTATAGACCCCCCTTTAACCCCCATATCACCCCCCATATCCCCCCTATAGACCCCCCTTTAACCCCCATATAACCCCCCCATATCCCCCTATAGACCCCCCCTTTAACCCCATATCCCCCCTATAGACCCGCCCTTTAACCCCCATATCCCCCCATATACCCCCCATAGACCCCCCCTTTAACCCCCATATCCCCCTATAGACCCCCCTTTAACCCCCATATAACCCCCCCATATCCCCTATAGACCCCCTTTAACCCGCATATCACCCCCCCATATCCCCCCTATAGACCACCCTTTAACCCCCATATAACCCCCATATCCCCCCTATAGACCCCCCTTTAACCCCCATATCACCCCCCATATCCCCCCTATAGACCCCCTTTAACCCCCATATCACCCCCCATATCCCCCCTATAGACCCCCCCTTTAACCCCCATATCACCCCCCATATCCCCCCTATAGACCCCCCCTTTAACCCCCATATAACCCCCCATATCCCCCCTATAGACCCCCCCTTTAACCCCCATATTTCCCCCCATATCCCCCTATAGAACCCCCCCATATCCCCCCCCATAGACCCCCCCTTTAACCCCCACATCACCCCCCATAGGATGCTCGACGCTTCGCTGCCCAGATCAAGGCTGCACTGGGGGAACTGGGGGAGCTGCTGGGGGGGGGGGCTGAGGAGTGAAGGGGGAGAGCCCCCTCTTCCCCCCCCCCCCCAATAAAGAGATGGGGCCACCCCCCCCCTCCCCCTTTATATAGGGGTTTGGAGTGTGTGATGGGGGGTAATGGGGGGTGATGGGGGTAATGGGGATCAATGGGGGGCAATGGGGGGCTAATGGGGGCAATGGGGGGTAATGGGGATCAATGGGGGCAATGGGGATCAATGGGGGGTAATGGGGGGCAGTGGGGGGTAATTGGGGGCAATGGGGGATAATGGGGGGCGATTGGGGGGTAATGGGGGCAATGGGGTGGCAATGGGGGGGGTAATGGGGATCAATGGCAGGGTAATGGGGGCAATAGGGGGTAATGGGGATCAATGGGGGGGTAATTGGGGGGAATGGGGGGCAATGGGAGGGTAATGGGGATCAATAGCCAGGCAATGGGGGGGTAATGGGGGCAATTGGGGGGTAATGGGGGCAATGGGGGGCAATGGAGGGGCAATAGGGAAGCAATGGGTGGGTAATGGGGGGCAATGGGGAGGTAATGGGGGCAATGGGGGGCAATGGGGGCAATGGGGAGGAATGGGTGGTAATGGGGAGCAATGGGAGGTAATGGGGGGCAATGGGGGATAGTGGGGGGTAATGGGGGGGTAATGGGGGCAATGGGGAGGTAGTGGGGGTAATGGGGGCAATGAGGGGCAATGGGGAGGCAATGGGGGGTAATGGGGAGCAATGGGGAGGTAATGGGGGGCAATGGGGGATAGTGGGGGGTAATGGGGGGCAATGGGGAGGTAGTGGGGGGTAATGGGGGGCAATGAGGGGCAATGGGGGGGTAATGGGGAGTAATGGGGGAGATGGGAGCATTGGGGGGGCAATGGGGGGTAATGGGGGGCTATAGGGGTCAGTGGGGGGTAATGGCGGTAATGGGGGGCAATGAGGGGCAATGGGGGGGTAATGGGGGGCAATGGGGGTAATGGGGATCAATGGGGGGCAATGGGGATGTAATGGGGGGCTCTAGGGGTCAGTGGGGGTCTATGGGGGGCAATGAGGGGGTAATGGGGGGCAATGGGAGGTTATAGGGGGGTAATGGGGATCAGTGGGGGCTAATATGGGGCAATGGGGGGGTAATGGGGGGCAATGGGGGGGGCAACGATGCTAAGGGAGCCGCCGGAAGTGCTCCCACCGGAAGTGCTCCCACCGGAAGTGCTCCCACCGGAAGTGCTCCCACCGGAAGCGCTCCCACCGGAAGCCGCCTCAGATCCAAGATGGCGCCGCGCAAGCGGCACGCCGCCGCCGTCGTCGCGGCGGCGGCCCCACAGAGCCCCATGGAAGCCCCATAGAGCCCCATAGCGCCCCACAGAGCCCTACGGAAGCCCAGTCTAGGGTTTACATCCCCGGTGTGGGGCCTCCGCTGGGGCCGGACGAGGAGCTGGTTATGGACGAAGAGGCCTATGTGTTGTATCACCGCGCCGGCACCGGTAGGAGCGGCTCTATGGGGCTCTATGGGGCTCTATGGGGTTCTATGGGGCTCTATGGGGCTCTATGGGGTTCTATGGGGCTGCTCCCCCCCTCTCCTTCCCCATAGGGGCCCCGTGTTTGAGCCTCGATGTGGTCCCGGACGAGCTGGGGGAGGGCCGGGAGGAGCTGCCCCTGTCCCTGCTGCTCTGCGCGGGGACCCAGGCGCCCACGGCCCAGGGCAACCGGTGAGTGCGCGGTGGGACCCATAGGGACCCATAGAGACCCATAGGGAGCCGTAGAGAGCCATAGGGACCCATAGGGACCCATAGAGAGCCATAGGGAGCCGTAGAGAGCCATAGGGACCCATAGAGAGCCATAGGGACCCATAGAGAGCCATAGGGAGCTGTAGAGACCCATAGGGACCCATAGAGCGCATGGAGACTATAGGGACCCATAGAGACCCATAGGGACCCATAGAGTGCATAGAGATCCGTAGAGACCTATAGAGACCCATAGAGTGCATAGAGATCCATAGGGACCCGTAGAGACCCATAGGGACCCATAGAGAGCATAGGGACTCATAGAGATCATATAGACCCATAGGGACCCGTACAACAGCGCATAAAGATCCGTAGAGACCCATAGGGACCCATAGGGACCCATAGAGCGCATAGAGATCCATAGAGACCCGTAGGGACCCATAGGGACCCATAGAGACCTATAGGGACCATAGAGAGCCATAGAGACTCATACAGCACCCCCTTAAGCCTTCCTCCATGCCTTGGGTCACCCCCTTACTGCCCCCCCAACCTATGGGGCAACCCCTTACTGCCACCCCCAACCTATGGGGCACCCCCTTAATGCCCCACCCCAACCTATGCCCCCCCCTTAATGCCGCCCCCAACCTATGGGGGACCCCTTAACGCCCCCCCCACCCCACCCTATGGAGCAGCCCCTTTCTGCCCCCCCAACCTATGGGGCACCCCCTTACTGCCCCCCCATCCTATGGAGCACCCCCTTACTGCCCCCCCAACCTATGGGGCAACCCCTTACTGCCCCCCCCCAACCTATGGGACACCCCCTTACTGCACCCCCCACCCTATGGGTCACCCCCTTAACGCCCCCCCACCCCTATGGGTCACCCCTTAATGCCCCCCCCACCCTATAGGGCACCCACTTATTGCCCCCCAAACCTATGGGGCACCCCCAACCTATGGGTCACCCACTTACTGCCCCCCCAACCTATGGAGCACCCCTTACTCCCCCCCCCCAACCTATGGAGCACCCCCTTACTCCCCCCCCCACCCTATGGGTCACCCCCTTAACGCCCCCCACACCCTATGGGTCACCCCCTTACTGTTCCCCCCACCCTATGGGTCACCCCCTTACTGCCCCTCCCCACCCTATAGGGCACCCACTTATTGCCCCCAAACCTATGGGGCACCCCCAACCTATGGGTCACCCCACTTACTGCCCCCCCAACCTATGGAGCACCCCCTTACTCCCCACCCCAACCTATGGGGCACCCCTTACTGCCCCCCCAACCAATGGGCACCCCTTCCTGCCCCCCCCAACCTATGGGGCACCCCCTTCCTGCCCCCCCAACCTATGGAGCACCCCCTTACTCCCCCCCCCATGTCACCCCCTTAACACCCCGCCCACCCTATGGGCACCCCTTACTCCCCCCCCCCATGGGACACCCCCTTAACGCCCCCCCCACCCTATGGGTCACCCCCTTAACGCCCCCCCCACCCTATGGGGCACCCCCTTAACGCCCCCCACACCCTATGGGGCACCCCCTTACTGCCCCCCCACCCTATGGGGCACCCCCTTACTGCCCCCCCCCCCAGGCTGCTGGTGATGAAGATGCAGAACCTCCATGGGGTTTCGGCGCCGGCAGGGGGGGGGCTCCAGCAGCGATGAGGAAGAGGAGGAAGAGGAAGAGGATGAGGAGGATGGGGGGCGCCAGCCCCAGCTGCTCCTGGCCATGGCCCCCCACTATGGGGCCATCAACCGCATCCGGGTAGCGACCCCCCCCATGCACCCCAATAGGCACCCATAGGAACCCCCCTCATCACCCCAATAGGCACCCATAGGACCCCCCAATGCACCCAATAGGCACCCATAGGACCTACCCAATGCACCCCAATAGGCACCCATAGGACCCCCCCCAATGCACCCCAATAGGCACCCATAGGACCCCCCCAATGCACCCCAATAGGCACACATAGGACACCCCCAATGCACCCCAATAGGCACCCATAGGAACCCCCTCATCACCCCAATAGGCACCCATAGGACCCCCCCAATGCACCCCAATAGGCACCCATAGGCCCCCCCATCACCCCCAATAGGCACCCATAGGACCCCCCCAATGCACCCCAATAGGCACCCATAGGACCCCCATCACCCCCCAAGCACCCCAATAGGCACCCATAGGACCCCCCATCACCCCCCAAGCACCCCAATAGGCACCCATAGGACCCCCCATCACCCCCCAAGCACCCCAATAGGCACCCATTGGACCCCCCATCACCCCCAATGCACCCCAATAGGCACCCATAGGATCCCCCCCATCACCCCAATAGGCACCCAATAGGAACCCCCCACAGCACCCAATAAGCACCCATAGGACCCCCTCATCACCCCAATAGGCACCCATAGGACCCCCCCAATGCACCCCAATAGGCACCCATAGGACCCCCCCCATCACCCCCAATAGGCACCCATAGGACCCCCCATCACCCCTCAAGCACCCCAATAGGCACCCATAGGACCCCCCATCACCCCCCAAGCACCCCAATAGGCACCCATAGGACCCCCCCATCACCCCAGTAGGCACCCATAGGACCCCCCATCACCCCCCAAGCACCCCAATAGGCACCCATAGGACCCCCCATCACCCCCCAAGCACCCCAATAGGCACCCATAGACCCCCCATCACCCCCCAAGCACCCCAATAGTCACCCATAGGACCCCCCATCACCCCCCAAGCACCCCAATAGGCACCCATAGGACCCCCCATCACCCCCCCATCACCCCAATACCCAATAGGCACCCATAGGACCCCCCATCACCCCCCAGTGCACCCCAATAGGCACCCATAGGACCCCCCATCACCCCCCAAGCACCCCAATAGGCACCCATAGGACCCCCCCAAGCACCCCAATAGGCACCATAGGACCCCCCATCACCCCCCAAGCACCCCAATAGTCACCCATAGGACCCCCCCCTGACCCCCATACCCCCCCATCCCCCCCCCAGGTGACTGAACTGGGCTCTATGGGGCCGTGGCAGCCTTGTGGTCGGAGCGGGGCCAGGTGGAGGTGGTGGCCTTGGGGGGGGCCCTGGAGGCCCTTGGGGGGCTGGAAGGGGGGGGGGGCTCCTCCTGAAGGAACAGCCCCCCCCTGAACCCCCTCTGCACCTTCCCGGGTCACATGGGCGAGGGCTACGCCTTGGATTGGTCGCCTACTGTTAATGGTTAGTGGGGGGGGGGGGCTATGGGGTGGGAGGGGGCTATGGGGTGGGAGGGGTCTATGGGGATGGTGGGGCTATGGGGATTTGGGGGGGGCTGTGGGGTGGA